AATAAGCAAAAACATCACAATTGCATTAATAGTATAATTTCATATAAGTGTGTTCTTTAATAGTAATAAAAAACTAAAAATGAATAATCAAAATAAAAGACAAGTCTTGACTATGCTTCGTCTTCTCAAAACATGCGTCGGTACCTGTCTACTGATGACCTAAGAATACAAGTTATTTTGAAAGCGTAGATCAACATTTAAGCTGGTCAGTTCATAAGTATTTAGTGTTTGTATAAGTTTACTGGAAATGTTTGTAAATGTTCAATGTAAATTTTTGTATATGTTTGAAAACTCCTAGAAAATCCTATATTTTCTACTAGTATAAAAAGTAGTCTTCTACCAAGACCCGTATGTTTTGTATGTTTGTTTCTCTGTAAAAGTGAATGCTTTTCCCAAATATGACTATCATTACCAAAATATAGTTTTATATTACCCTTTATGTGCGAAGATCACAATTTGAATATAATGGGAAAATGTATGTGTACTGCAATATTGTTTGTATTAACTATTGAAGTAATAACTACCTTAAAACCAATGGTTTAATTAAGGTAAAATATGATAAGATTGCTACCATACTAAATTGACTATAACACGATGATGAAAGACGTCGGAAGAAATGACAATTGGCACCCGTAGACTTGCAAATCCCACTGTAGCGAACAAAAAAGGTGTAGGATAGTCAATATATATATATATATATATATATATATATATATATATATATATATATATATATATATATATATATATATGCAAACTCACGCTCTCCCTCCAGGAGATTCTGTTTACAAATTGTGACACAACTAAATGGTCGTTGTGCCATGAAGTAGTGTCTCACATTATGTTATTTCTGAACGTTGTCATAGTATACTTGTTATAGTAATAGTATTCTATGTATAGTATTCTCTGTATAGTATGCTCTGTATCTTATGCTCTATATAGTATTCTCTGTTATACTATTCTTTGTTATAGTATTCTCTATTATAGTATTCTCTGTTATAGTATTTGTATATGATAGTGTTCTCCTAAACTATACCTATTATAGTTTACTAGTGATTTCTGTAATTGAATAAATGACTGAATGTATACCTTTGCTACCTAAAGGTACTGAACTGATTGATAGTACTTTTATATCTAAATATGTATACATAATATATATCTAATATTTAGATGACCTTCGGACAAATAACCGGTACCCTAAGTCCACATCCAAACAAGGAAAAGGAAATAAAGCGAGTTAGTAGTCCTATGTCCTTTAAACATTATGTATATAACTATACATATATAGACATGTTTTTGACAGTATATAAGTTTAAAAGAGGTTTTGTAATACATTTAAACAGTTTTGAACAATAAATAATAATGACTCGATTTCAGTTTATAAAATGATTTAAAAGTAGTTTGTTTGATAACACAGTTTAAAGTAGTTTGAAATCCTTTGTTTGAAACACAGTTATAAATCACATGTGATTGATTATATAACTAACATGTTTTCTACTTGTACCCCCCCCCCCCATAAAAGCATTTAAAATCATTTAAAAGATAAGTTAAGGGGGGGTTTGAACTCACCTGTAGTGAGTAACTCGAATGTAAGATTGATATAGGAAGTGGAGTGTCAAGTGGAGACTCGAGCATAAAAGGATCCAGTTAAGCATATAATGACACATATATGTATATAATTAGTGTATATAACAACTTATTTATGATAGGAAACCACCTTAGGGACTAGTAAACACTCATATTGAAGTGTTACAATCATATATGATTGCATATAAGGGGTATATGGCCACACAATGGAGTGTAAGACCAAAGTGCACAAGTTATGTGGTTGTGCGGCCAGGGTGTACGGCCCATGTGGGTGTACGGTCGTACACTCACTATGAAATGTGCCAAAGTGTGTTTTAAAGTCCTATTTCACAACTAGGAAGGGTGTACTGACCATTGCTTAGCCTTAATGGGAGTTGGATACCATTTTAGGCCACAAAAAGGGTGTGTACGGCCAGACAAGGTGTGTGCGGCCGTACACCCTTGAAGATCTTAGAAATCTGGTGATTTTTATGATAATCATCAAGTGTTTCAAGTATATAACAAGTTATCGAAAGGGTACTTACGTGTTAGAAGCTTGAAAGGGTGATTTAGGGCCCAAAACTTAGTGGGTGTTCTTGGTGTTCTTGACGAACACTTGAAGATCTAAACAAAATGAGTAGTTTCATGGATGAAAACATGGATCTTTACTAGTTATAGCATTGTATTAACTAATAATGGAAGAAAAACTTACTTATTTGAAGATCCTAGTGAAGAACATGATGATACTTGAGAGAGAATCAGTTTTCTAGCCTTGGAAGTGTGAGATATGATGAATAATAAAGGAATATATCACATATACACATGAGTGTACACCCAGAAGGGGGTGTACGGTCGTACACCTAGGTGTGTGGCCGTAAACTCCTTAACAAGGGGTGTTTGGCTCATTTGAAAGGTGTTGGACGCATAAACACTCATCCCTAGACTCATACCTTGATTGTACTAGGCTTAGAACACTCAAATAGACTCTAAACAGTGCTAGAAGATAGCAAAACGAGTCTGAACTTCATTGATTTGAATTGTTTGTACAAGAAAGAAATTTTGGGTTGTCATAGTTAGGGTTTGCGACCCAACTCGCCGAGTCTACTTAATCCATCCCTATTCAGATGATTTGAGACCATCTCATTGCTTCCAACTCATAGATCTGTACTCCTAGGGCTAGTTTCACACGTAAAGTTTCCAACTTTATGTGCATGCAAGGCGATATAGGCTCAACACAAGCTGGAAAGAAGGTTCAAGACAAGAATGCTCTTATACATGCTCAAAGGCTGATGCTTTATGCTTCCATGGACCAAAACCAACCTAGATCTGAAGTTGCAACCTTAGATCCAGTCCTTACACCCAAAATGGATCCCCATCAAGCTAAAAAGCCCCAAAACCTTAAACATGAATAGATCTAAAAGGGAAAAGCTCAAGGTAACATCTTGTTACCTAAAAAACGTGCCCAAAATGAAGTAGATTCCGGATCTACAAGGATTCTTTGATGCTAGCCTCTTGATCTACAAACTTCCTTCTTTATATTCCTCTTCTAAAGCTCAAATCTCTTCAACAATGGAAGCTCACACGATTTTAGGGTTTACTGATTCTCAAGGGTAACAAGGAGGCCGAGGGGAGGACATAAGGTCCTTTAAATAGGGTGCAAACCCTAAGATTTAGGGTTTTCTCTTCCCAGCACTGACTCGTCGAGTCCAGCGGCTGACTCGATGAGTCAGGGCACGTATCGCGTGCCCAACACACATTACGACTCAACGGGTTAAAGCTCCAACTCACCGAGTCTACTTTTCCATTTACACTTTACACCCTTGAACTCTTTCTTCTGAACTTCGAATGTTACACTGACGTTTAAGGGTGTAATGTTCTTTATATAGCAACACACCCTAAAATTTAGGGTTTAAAGGCTCTGGGCGTACTTCTCGTACGCTGGGCGTACGCCTCCAACACCCACGACTCCTCATCCCTACTACGTTGGGGGTACCCCAGCTTACGCTGGGTGTATTCTCGTGTTGGCCACCTTCCTTACCATTTTTCTCTATCAAGGACAAATAATGCCCACAACTTCAAAAATACTATAACTCCTTTGCTTTAAGTCCGTTTCCGACGAACTTTATATTCATGTAAAGGTGGCAAGAAGCCCTACGCTCCTAGCTACACCCCAAGCCTTGTAACCTTCTGAATAAGACCCGAGACCTAGTAAAAGACCGAATCGTCAGATTACGCTTATACCCTTGTTCTCCGAAGACACAATCGAGCACTTTCAAAACCGGGTGTTACAATATATATATATATATATATATATATATATATATATATATATATATATATATATATATATATATATATAGGGTTAGGTTATTTTGTTTTTAGTAACTATTGTGTGCTAGAATGCACACATCTGGACCATTGGATGGAATATAATCAAAGGTCATGATTTGAAGGTCTATGATAGTAGAATATGATAGCATGTACCATATACTCACACAAATTTCAACATAAAGGCATTTTAGTCAATTAACATATATTAAAAAAAGGAAATTTTCGGATTTTTAGGGATAATTAATTCCTTTATTTTTAAAAATCTGAATATTTTAATTAATTCAAAATTAAAAATCCGATTTTATTCTGTCAGAATGATAGAATGTTAGCCATAAACTAGTAAATACATTTTTTGATTTTATTCTGTTAGAATGACAGAATACCAGCCATAAACTAGTAAATACATTCTGAAAGAATACACAAAATCGATTTCTAAACTAATAATATACCAAATAATTACATTGTATGATTGTGATTCATTGAATAAGAAGAAACATTCTGACAGAATAACAAGTATAATTCTTAAAAAATAACAACATTCTTAAACAATGAGTATGATCATTCTTTAATTCATTCTTCAAGCCTTTCCCATCAGGTCTTCAAGCCATTCTTCAAGCCATTTCTATTAGAAATTCATTGCCAAGTAATTCGTAGTGATACACTTGTAAGAACTGCACATTAAACATACAAATAATTAACTACAATTCTATCAAAATACAACAATAATATTCTTACAGAATAAACTATTCTTGCATAATGGTTTTGAATATTCTTAAAGAATTTGTATCATCAAGAATATTCAACTGTAGTTAAAATGCCTCCTGCTTCATCTTCAAAATCTTTAGCTTCAGCCTCCATCTCCAGCTCATAACCACTATAGTTAAAATGAAAAATCAACCAACATTCTATTTCTAATTCATCTATTTTATTAACTCCATAAAAAGGAAGACATCTGATTTTTTGATGTACTGGTAAAATTCAGGTTGAGCAAGTGAATCATTGACTGAAGACTTCACCATTTTATATGATGGATCTCAAAAATCAAGAATATAGTATCAAATGGGTAAATAAAATTAGGGAAAATCAAACACTTACATATAGTGTTAGAACAACTTCCATGAGAAAGCCAATGAATGCAGCTCTAATGGGTTCGCCGGTGGTTGAACAAATCGCAAGGAAGGGAGATCTAATCTCTGGCAGGCTTCCCTTGGTTCACTATCTCCGTCTCCGTCAGCCACCAATTGTGGAAAGGAAACAACATGGACAACCATACCCTTTTCAGGTTCCTTTGGTCAACAAACACCCTTTGACTTTCTTTCTGGGTGTGTGGGTAGCGGGTATCATCAACATGCTTGCATATTCTTGTAATTATATATATATATATATATATATATATATATATATATATATATATATATACTGTTAAGTTAATACCCTTTGCCTTCTCCATTTCAACCTCTTTCTGAGCTTTCTTCTTTTCTAGTTCAGCCTGTTTATAGTTTTCTTCATGAGCTTTTCTAAACAACCTCACAAAGTTCAAAAGGGTTTGTGTAACTGCACAACCATAGCCATAAACCATCATTCTTCTCTTATACTTTCAAACATATGCAATTCAATTATTATTATTATTATTATTATTATTATTATTATTATTATTATTATTATTTCTCCTTATAAAAAGAACATACCAATTAAATATGTTACCTTGTTTAAAAGGGCAACGAGGAGAATCTTCACCAAAATATAATGTCAATGCATCAACATTTCTACCATGCAACACAAACATTATAAAATAATACAAATTATATATGAATTTTAATTCAAGGGTTGTTCTTGATTCTTACCACCACATAATACAATTTGTTACGGACCCCACTTCCGACTCACCAATGCTGATAAACTGATTCAATATCTAACAATGGAACAAAAATAAATATTCGCATCAGATTGTAGTTTTATATAAAAAAAGATATCGAATTAGAAGAAATTGAGTAAAATATTTGTGTATTTACTTTATGAAAAACTTCAGAGACAAGGGCCATCGTTTGCAGAAGCATCTAGTTCTTATTTGACCTTTTCAAGACCCTTAATAATGGCCTGCATTTCTTCTGCTAAAGACTTTAATTGTATCTACAAACAAGAAACGCCTTTCATTTATCATTTTCTTTAAATAAATCTTTTTTTTTTTTGAGAAAATAAGTGAAGCTATGAACTTTAGTTGCAGCCTCGAGACTAACAAGATCCACATGAAAATCCAAAAGGGCAAGTGATTTGGCAGCAAGAACCTATAAGAAACTTGAAATTTTATGCAAAAAGGACTTGTACCAAATCTATATACATAGCAAAAGAGAGTTGTACCTTGCAGAGGTAATGCATTAAGGTCATTTTGCTGTTTGAAGCATGTCTATCTGTTAGTTTCAAAAGACTATCTAACTTGAAACCAATTGCAGAACTTGCAAATTTGTATAATAAATGAACAATCCTTTTTTTTTTATACATAAAACTTGATATGAAATAACCAACAAGGTTGCATTTTTTTTTACCTCTTGCAGTTCCTTGATTTAATGTATTCCCTAAATACAAAATTCATTTCCTGATCTCCTTTAATATCACCAATTGTGGAAAGGAAAGGAACAGAGGCAGCAGTGCTGTCGTCAAGTGGCAGCGAAGGCTGCTCCTTCTTCTATCTGACAACAATCACGCAAGGAGGGAAAGACTTCGGTCCTCTGTTGATTGAAGAAGAAAGAAACACAAAAATAGTCAGAAAAATAGTCGGTGAATCTTAATCGATCACAAGGAAGGGTTGCAATCGACGGTGTGAAGTCGCTGAAATGAAGGTGAATGCTGCCAGCAAAAGGGATCGATGATATATAGGGTTTTAAAACTGATTTTACTAAATTAAATGGATATTAAATGGTTTAAATATTTACTATAATTAGATATAACCAAGATTACTATCATACCCTTATATTAATTAATAATGATTAAAATTTTCTTAATTTTTGATTGGTGCATTTAAGCACACAATATTTGTTGGAAACATTTAAACCTATATCTATTTCTCTCTTTCTCTTTCTCTCTCTCTCTCTCTCTCTCTATATATATATATATATATATATATATATATATATATATATATATATATATATATATATATATATATATATATATATATATATATATATATACTTGTTAATTGGTGCTAATTTAAAAGAATACTATGGCATTGGTTGGAAATCTTTTCTAGCATTTTCTATTATAAATTGCCATGGGTTTGTATTTGTAACTTATATTTCGTGTTATTTGAATGTTTATCTAATGGTTTGGTGATAAACTATCGTGTCATTTTAATTTAACATAAAATTTTGATCTCAATTAATATAATTGGCTTGAAATCTTAGTTGTTACTGATAGGTGAGCATTTGGACTGAATTGGTTTTAAAGAATTTACGAGAATGTGAATTGGACCTAATGATGCATATCGGTTCTGGTTTTCCGGTTTTTGGACCCGTTGGCCGATACAATATTTGTTACGTCGTTGAAGCAATAATGAAAATAAAAAAACTTTCAACTTTGATACCCAACTCTGGGGGACTGTAAATCATTCAACATAAAAAAAAATTATAAAATTACACCCTAAATTGAGATACAAATTATACACTACATATTGAAAAATATCTCATGTTAACCTGACTTAAAACAAATGAATCGTTTAAATTTTAAAAGTTCATAGATTGCACACAAAAAATCAACCCAATACACCAGAATCGATCCACCTCTAAAGCTGGAATTGAAACATTCAAACACACTGAAGCTAAGAACCAAAATCCTAATTTATTACATAAAATCGGTACTGATCCAGATCCGATCTGATTCAATCGATATGATTGTTCGTTGTTAGCATATTTATGAAATTATGATGTTTGTGTGCTTTTATTGAACAAATTCTCAAATTTAATTTATTTCCTTTTATATTCGATACTTTTTAATAATAGTAAATGAATATTTCTCAATTTTATTTTATTTCTTTTTATATTAGATACTCTTTAATAACAATAAATGAATATTTCTCAGTTTAAAATTTTTTCGTTTTATATTCCATACTCTTTGAATATTTGATACTCTTTGAATATATATGTTTTATTTAAGAGTAAATTATACGAATGGTCCCTATGGTTTGGGATAATTATACGTTTCGTCCCTAATTTATTTTTTAACTCGAAAGGTTCCTACTATTTGTTTTTGTTATTTACTTGATCTCTGTCTTATCTAAAAAAAACTATTTTGTCATTGATTTTTTAATTTATTTAAATAAACACACCTCAAACACCACTTCTACCTCACCTCAATTTATCTTACCTACCCCATTTTATTTAAATAAACTAAAAAATCAAAAGCAAAATAATTTTTTCAGATAACATAGAGATTAAGCATGCAACAAAAAACAAACTATAAGGATATTTCAAGATAAAATAAATAAAAATTACTTCAAATCAA